TTGCAGGCGACCGGTCGCTAGTCCGAAAGTTTGTATCCTTTATGCGAGCCAATTTTCCAACAGACATAACCATACATAATTTGTTAAACACCTATACAAGTGATCAAACGAAAGTTGAACTACTCATTGTATATATATTTTTTTAACATTACTAATTAACCTTGTTAATATTTAAGATGTACATATATAATGTCTAACTTATGATACAAACAGGTTTTGGGAGGCATGATGCATTCTAAAAACAGTACAGATGAATGGTTGTCAATTCAAGAAAGTAAAATATGGGAATTACCACAAGGAGAGGATAGAATTATCTCAGTTTTGAAGTTGAGTTTTGATGCTTTGAAATCCCCATCTTTGAAACAATGTTTTGCATATTGCTCAATATTCATGAAAGATGTAGAAATTGAAAGGAATGACTTGATCCAACTTTGGATGGCTCAAGGATTGCTCCTCTCCTCAAGTTCTTTAGAGATGGAGGACATAGGTAATGAATATTTTTATATTCTATTGGAGAACTCCTTTTTTCAAGATGTTGTAAAGGATGACTGGGGCATTATTACCAAATGCAAGATGCATGATCTTGTGCATGATCTTTCTGAACTAGTGTCAAGATATGATGGGGAAGATAAGCTTGACGTTGGACAGGCACAGTTTCCTTCTTTAATACCGAACAAAATTTCAGAAAGAAATGCTGGGAAATTGCGATCCTTGTTTGTGAATGGTGAAGCCCTTGGTAACATCTTGGCAAGCTTTACGTCTTTACGTGTCTTGAAACTATACAGGTCTGATATTGAGGAGTTGCCTATTTCAATTGGTGAGCTAAAACACTTGAGATATCTAGACGTTTCTGAAACACACATCAAAGAGCTCCCCAAATCTATTGGTAGGCTCTACAACCTACAGACGCTAAGAATGCCTAGTTCAAGCAGTCTTCAAACGTTTCCGAAGGAGCTACAAAATTTGATCAACTTGAGACATGTTTATTTCAATGAGTATATGGAAGTTCCATTTGGGATAAGAAGATTGACCCATCTGCAAACACTACCTTCCTTTACTCTGGATGGGACAAGAAGTCATGGAATTGACGAGCTGGGTGGCTTGAACAAACTGAAAGGCGAGCTGATTATTAGATCTTTGGAATATGTGAGGGGCAAAGACGAAGCGAAAGAATCAAATTTAGTGAGGAAGACAAACATACGAAGCTTGAGACTTGAATGGGGTAATTCCAGGGAAAGAAATGATGATGACAAGAATGTACTAGACGGCCTCGAACCTCACCCCAAGTTAGAAAGCTTATATATAAGCAGTTTCTTGGGTTCTAAATTTGCATCATGGATGATGAGTGGGTTGCCAGGAAATTTGAAAAAGATTGTTCTATCCAATTGCAGAGAATGTGAAGTAGTCCCAACACTTGGCCATTTACCAAATCTTAGACATGTTGACTTTTACTTTATGGATAAGCTTAAATGTCTAGGAGATGAGTTTTATGGTTATAACCAAACCAGGGCAGCTTTGTTCCCAGCATTGAAAACCTTACGATTAAGTTCTTGCCACGCTTTAATTGAATGGAAGGAAGCAACTGTGATGTCAACAGTAGCGGTGTTTCCCTGCCTTGAGGAGTTGAGTCTCAGTTCTTTGATGCAATTGAAAAATGCTCCCAGTCATTTTCCATCTCTCCGGAAGTTGCACATACATGTTCTTGACAATGTCATGCCAATAGAAAACATATGCAGCCAACTAACCACTCTCACTTCCCTCTATATGCAAGGGATTAAGGAGCTTACTTCTCTGCCAGTAGGGATGGTGGAAAAGAACAAGAATCTTCGGTCACTGATTATCGGCCATTTTGAAAATCTGAGGCACTTACCTGATGGGCTGCTAAACAAACTTCCTCTTCTTGATGAGTTGTTTATATCAAGTTGCCCTAATCTGGAGCTAATTCCAATTACAGAAGGATTACCATGTCTCCGGGAACTCAAAATTAAGGATTGTAAGAAACTATCAAGCTTGCCGAGTGGGTTAAAATATTGCACCTCTCTTCAGATGTTGAGTATAAGTCGTTGCCCCAATCTCACATCAATTCCAATTCCACAAGTCCTCCCACCATTCCTCCTTCAGTTGGAATTTGAATTTTGTGGTGCATTAACAAGCTTAGCAGGTGGTCTTGAATGTCTTACCACCCTTCAGCAGTTCACTATAGCTTATTGCCCTAAGCTAACATCCATTTTAATTCACAGTCTCACCTCCCTCCGCAAATTGTTTATTTATGATTACGGACCGGAATCCGTCAGTAGTTCTCTGGAGGAGTTGTCTTTACTTGGTTGCACATCCCTCCGTGATGTGAACATTCGAAATTGCAAGGGGTTCTCAGGTATATTGAGTGGACTAAAATCTTGTACTTCTCTTCGTTCACTGTGTGTTGATACTTGTCCAAACTTGATGCATTTACCGATTGATGGGCTGCAAACCCTCGTCTCTCTTGAGGAGCTGAGAATATGTTATTGCCCTAATCTAGAGGCTGTTCCCAGTTTGGACTACCTGACATCCCTCCGTGAGTTGCATATTTATAGCTGCGGAGGATTGACAAGTATACCAAGTGGGCTAGCCTCCTGCACATCTCTTACCAATTTGTCAATCGACTCATGCCCCAACCTGGTATCTATAGCAGAGGATGTATCCAGGCTGCAATCCCTGACTCGTTTATCAATATATGACTGTGGGAAGTTACAATGTTTGCCGACTGGCCTACAGTTTCTGACCCGTTTGGAACATCTGACAATCGGTAAGTTCTCGGAGGAGCTTGATTCTTTCCCTGATTTTGAGGCTCCGTCACATGTTGAAGAATTAAGGTTGTGGGGGTGGCCAAAGCTCAAGTCTCTGCCTCAACAAATTCAACACTTCACTTCTCTTACATCTTTGTCTATAATATCTTTTAACCAAGTGGAGGCTTTGCCAGAGTGGTTGGGTAACCTTACATCTCTTACCTTCCTGGGTATTCAGAGGTGCGAGAATCTGATGTATCTACCTCCGGTCAAAGCTATGCAACGCCTCGACAAATTACAAGAGCTAGTGGTTGATGGATGTACCCGTTTAGAGGAAAGATGTGCAAAAAAGGTTGGCCTAGAATGGCCCAAGATTTCTCATGTTCCAAACGTCATGGGTAATTTCTTCTCAAATCAATTGTCAGATATTTGTTCACTTTTCTCTCACTTTTATTTTTCTTTTCGTCAGTACTGACCCAACCTGTTTTTGTATAGTTTACTGATGGATTAGTAAGCTTGGGGGAAGGGGAAGTACATGTCCAAAGAGTTGCTTCAAGTTTCACATTGAAGTGCAATGTAAGCTTTTCAAGTTTCTCTTTTTTATTCTCCTCTTACATACGTTTCTCTTCGATCATATTTAACCAGTTTCCCTGATGCGATTTATTATTACTGCATAAAGTTTAGACTCTCAGGAGGCTCTTACGACACTAGAAGAACAAGTGATGTGAGATAATTTTGATCTGGTTATATGCCCTTCAGGTACTTAATTCTGTTCCCTTTCCACTACATATGAGATCACTTATGTTTAGCTTATATGTAAATTCGCGTAGGTTTGACTTGTATGTATATTCACATGTTTAGCTTCAATTGTTATCATTTTGTTCATGATTTGTCTCTTCTCTCCTGTCACATTTTCATTTAATTAATTAATTGGCTGTTAACATCTTTCTCGACTCAGCAGTTACTTTGGTTTGCAATATCAAAGACTTCCTAGCCTCATGGAAGAACAAAATTAATTGCTTTAAACTCAATATTTTGCAATACTTTAGAGGAAAATTATGTGTGCTAACTAGTTCGGAAGACAAATTACTACATACAGAACAGGGGACGATAATTCAACTCTTGCATGATTTCGTGCCAACTTTTCGTATCCTCAAACAGAGCTTTTGTGTCCTTAATTTCACATTATTGGTTTGGGTTTTGTGGCAGTCTAAACATATATAATTCTCACATTAATCATGATTTTGGATTAGACAATTCAGCGCACTTTTGACTTTCTGCAGGCTCTTTTTTCCCTTTGATACTATATTTTACTGTTTCGGGTGTCTTCCTTTCCAAGCAAAGAGGAATATAAGTCGACTCCTTTTCCTTAGAATTGTATGACATGATATGTATGTGTTGTAATTCCATGAATGATCCAGATAGACCCATTTTCTTCTTTTAAGTTATTTTTCAATCATTATTCATATAAAAGTCAACTAAATTAGAAATTGTTTAGCCATTTGATTCTTGTCATTTTCGTTTCAGTTTTATCAAACAAGTTACGGTTTGTGTGTGCATAATTTAGATAATCAATCAATAGAAATATATGTATATATATCCCCAGTTCTGGCATGAATTTTGGAGAAGAAAAAGAAACCCAAAGTTAGCCAGCTGTCCCTTCTTGATATTTAATTGATGTGTGAAATTGTGCAATTTAGTCCTTAGTTTCACAAAATGGCTTTGTTTTTTGTTGCTGTTGTTTTTGTGAGTCCATGGTGTCACTGCAACATCTGTAATCCTCTGTTTCACAATGCAGGGTTTCAGCTATATATACGGCATATCAATTGTTGGTACATGTAGTTTAAACAAATCACTATTTCAGGAAGTTGTTGATCTATGTTCGTTTTTCTTGTTTCTGCACTTAAGCTCATGGACTCTTGCATGGTTGCATATCACACAGAACAAAGGTCTTCTTTGATAGCATGTCATTTACCTATGCTATTTCAAGAATCAGGTAAATGAATCTCCAGTTATAAGCTTTTTACCTTCATTTTAAAAGTTGAAGGTAATTTTGAACATTTCTTGCTAAGTTTCTCTTGGTGTTATATTGACCGTGCAGACTCGAGATTGAAGAAGAAACTCATGCATGTGATGTGCCTGTGATCTAGAACTTAGTGTTTGGACAAAATGGTAAGCTAGTATCCCTTAAGTTTGTTTTCTTGACACTCATCAGCAAATCGAGTTATATTCTTATGAGTTTTGCATCACAGGGTCAACTTGTTGTGGAGCAGTTTAATTAGGAAAAATGATTTCCATCAACTTCCCGAGGTGCAGCTTAATTAAGACAAGCATTCTGGTGGAGAACACTTTTCCTAGCTAGTCAAGCCCTGCGTCCTGTCTCTTATAAAAAGAGATAGTTTAAAGTCCTTTTAGAGAGTGAAAGCCATGGCCACAATTTAGAGAGATCTAGTGAGTTTTTGATGTATTTGGGGAGAAATGGGAAGAAAGAAGAGAGATTAATTTAGTTTGGTTGCGAGTGTTGACTATTGTCTCAAAAGCAAAGTTGCTTTCGGCCAAAAGTAGAATATATTATTTGGCATTGGCAGACAAAGTGGAATGGGAAGCTGCATGTGGGAGACAAAAGGCTAGCATTTATTGCTAACTTTTGACTTGATGGGAGGCCTTTGGCCGTTGGCTTCTTTGAGAAGCCACTTCCTTTGGCTTTAAAAGGAGAAGCAGCAGCAGCCCAGAGCATGAGAGACAGAAGTTTGCAGAGAGAAAATTGAGAGAGGAAAAATAAAGAGTTGGGCAGCAAAACAAATTGTTGCTGTCGTTGGTTATTTTTCCCTTTCTCTAAATTGTACTCAATTTGTATTCTCTTTATATTCTTGAGTGTGTGAGCTTGGGTATATTTGGGGCTTGGGTTTCTGAGTGTTAAACACTATTGTATTCTCTCATTGATTATAGTGGAATACTCCGTCGTCTCCAAACTGGATGTAGGCATTGCCGAACCAGTATAAATCTTGGTGTTCTTGTTGGTGTTGTTTTGTGTTCATTATTTTTATCTCCTGCTAGTTGTGTTTATTTTCACTCGCACTTGGTTGACGCTTCCGCACAACAAA